GCTTAACCCATTCTGGAATTTATTCGAGGAAATAAGTATTCTGGAATTTATTCTAGGATTTACTTCCTAATTTTCAATACATACATCTGGAGTTTTAATGTATTTTTGACTTGTCGCGAAGTGAGAACTGAATTAATCGAATGAGAAGTACTGAATAGTCTGAGAAAAACTGTTTCTTTTTGTTGTTGTTGTTCTTTGCTTAATTTCTTTTATACATCGTTTTAGATTTATTATAGTATTCGAACAAAATATGTGGCAACGATTAGATAATTTTTCAAATGATATAAATTTTCTGCATTCTGAGTTAAAAAATGAACGAAATATAACGCTGTTAAGTGAACCTAGGGCCAGAGTGTCTCTATGATAAACAAATATAGTGAATTTTAAAGAGGGCATTTATTCTATTGTGGTTTATGCGCTATCGACGGAGTAGATTTAATCGAATCCAATAAGTTTAAATGAAATGCAAGAAAAAAATGGGTATAATTTAAAATTCCGTACAAGAAAGTCATGTGGTGCACACATCAGATTTTTCTACTAAATGAACGTTGGGGAACGAGGTGAAGCGTTAACCTTCTTATCGCTGAGTTCAAATAACAATAGTTGCTGAGTCGAGAAGGGTTAACTATCCTTTTATTTCACTCAAAATAAGATGAACAGTTGGCCCCTTTCTCGGGCTTACAACAAAGCCTCTACTTGGGCTTAAACTCAGAATAAGAATACTAAACTATAACTAATTAAGAGACTTAGTCATAGCTAACAGAATTATCTAACGTAGTTGGCCCTTAATTTAAACTAGCCGGCGAACATCAAAAGGCACGCAATAAACTGCGGAGCGTAACAACTGCAAGAGATACTTAGCCCGAAGGCAAACACGCGCTACCCACGATTCCTAGCTCTCTCTTAAGAAGTAAGTTGAACCTTCCTTTAATACTATTTCTAACTCAATTGCATTCAGAAGCGATTCCAAAAGCTCATTCTGGTAGGGAGTTGTAAGTGGAAACAAGAATCGATAGGGAAAAACATTGAAATTTAAATAATTGTTATAAAATTAAAATATACCTTACACAACGAAGAAATATTTCATTTAATAAAATATCAGAATGTTGTGTAGACTTAAAACGATCTTTTTTTTAGCCGAAAAGGGACTTTAGTCCCGATATTAGTTTCGAAATAGCATTTTGCGTCGAAACACTTAAAATGCCTTTTTATCTTAATCTTCTGCAATATTCCTTCATTAAAAGCTGATTATAAGAGTTATTGTGCGGACTGACGAAGAGAGTAATATGGCAATTTAATCATTTGTATAATGGAACTGGCTACAAAATTTTAAAGAATTGTTTATGAAGTTTAACATATTAAGTTACTAGGAGCAAATAAAAATTCGCATGGGCTACATAGAATATTTTCTTCTTGGTACTGTACAGAATAAAGAGTAACTACGAATATTATAACTAAAGGAAAGACGGTATCTTAAGTTCAGAAAAATCAGTCTTAAAATATCAATTGAATTAAATTATCGCACCATTACAACGCAATAAATTATTATTCTCTTTCTATTCTGATTATATTTGTTAAGACATATTCCGTCGGTCTTCTACCATTTAATACTAATAGAAGAGATAGAAGGAAAACGGTTATTGAACCAAGACAACGCAAAGATTATTATTCTTGCTCTATCTAATTATGTTTGTTTATTAAGATATATTCTATCGATATTCCATCTTCTACCATTTGATCCCAATAAAAGAGATGGAAGGGAAAAAAATTCTTAAAATATCGACAGTATTCGGGCATTGCACCAGCACAACGCATTTAATTATTATTCTATCTAATTATATTTGTTTATTTAAGGCACATTCCATTGTTATTCTGTCATCTACCTTTTGGTTTCAGTAAAAGAGATTAAAGAACGCGTTCTTAAAAAATCAACAGCATTCGGCTGATGCACCAGCACCAACGCTATGCATTATTATTGTAATTCTATGTAACTATATTTGTTCATTAAGGCACATTCATCGTTATTCTGGTTTCTACCATTTGCTCCTAAGAAAAGATTAAAATCTGAAAAATTCTAACCCGTTTGTGACGTCAGTACTTGTTAAGCATCATTATTATAACAGGAGGCAACATGAAAAGGGGCAAATGCCTTTACCGGCACATAGATTCTAAACGATGCTAGCCGGACGTGCTTTCCGATTACATCACGAAGGCACGCGTTAAGGAGTGAGAAAAATACCTTACATTCTTCCTCACTTAAAACGTGATTGTGGAGCCCGGAACCAACCGCCAACCTTAGTGGTGACGAATTACTGTCGACTACCTTTAAAATCACTGCCTAATTTTTAAAAATCTTTTGTAGTAAGGAAAACAGAAGGAATCAGCAATTCCTTAATGAGATTTCGAAACTTGGATCTTCCGATTGTCGAGTTGCTTCCAGTTACACCACGAAGGCATGCGGTAAAAAGAGAGAAAAATACTTTACAAAATACCGTTAGGCAACCCTAGTAGTGACGGATTGTTGTCTACCCCCTCTTAGTTCAGGCGCCATTGCAGAATCATTTGTAATTTTTTGTAGTAAAACAGGAGAAATCAGCGACGCGTTATCCGCAATTCGAATTCCGGAAATCCCGATTGGCAACCGGATGTGCTTCCAGTTACACCAAGAAGCATGGGAAAGGGAGAAAGGAAGGCAGAAAATACCTTACAGCTTTAATTAATAAAAAAGTCAAAATACAGCGAGAATCTAAAATTTTTCCTCTTTTTGTATTTACTTAAGTAAAAGATACTACAGAAGAACACTTTAATTCAAACTCTAATTTAACTTTTAAGGCCGAAAGTATCCAGAACAGCCACAGCAACATAAATAATCTTCGAAGAATAGAGGAGTTGGTGCGAAGGAGATATATTTATACTGAGGAGCTTGGCCAAAAGAGCAGGACAGTCGAAGAGATGGATTAGAGAAACACGGAACCTTTTGCTGTAACTACACTCATGTCCATAAATTAAGGATAATTCGGAGTCACGCGGAAATCGAACTCTAAAATAAATATATCACCTGTAAAATCACTACACACATCTTCAAGAATCATATGTCATATGCAAATTTCAGGAAGTAACCAGATGACACCGATGTTACGTCACAATGACGAGAGTGTAAGAGAGTGATATATAAGGAATACAGGCAAAGAAGTAAAATTGTTCGCAGGCGCTTAATGTAAGTAGACGTTACAGCACAGGTCGCCCCAGCGTTACAACGCCGAATGACTACCGGTATTTGGCAGTTACTGCCAAAAGAAACAGGCGGAGCATAGCCTCAGACCTGTCTCGTATAGCCTCAGACACCGTAACAGTGGGCTTGTGTGATGTTTTCCGACGAGTCCAGGCTTATCTTGCAGTCTGATTCTCGCCGGACTTTCATATGGAGAGCTCCAGGTACCCGATACCACTAAGAAAACATCATTGAACGACACCGTTACGGTGGTGCAGGAGTGCTCGTTTGGGCTGGAATTATTCTGGATTCCAGAACTGACCTGCATGTTCAAATTGGAGCCATGACAAGGCAAATCTATCGGGACGTCATTCTGGAACAACATGTACGTTTGTTTCGGGGCGCCATGGGCGCACAATTTGTGTTTATGGATGACAACGCCCGTCCTCACCGTGCAAACATCGTAAGCGAATGCCTTCAGTCGGAGGATATCACCCGTATGGACTGGCCAGCATTCTCACCGGACTTGAATCCAGTAGAGCACGTGTGGGATATGCTTGGCCGACGAGTTGCAGCCCGTCAACCTCCTCCTACATGTCTACGGGAACTTTGGAGAGCATTGCTTTTTGAGTGGTGTAATATCCCCCCAAGATCAGATCGATAATTTGATACTCAGCATGCCTAGGCGTTGTACGGACTGTATTGCATCGTCTGGGAGACATACAATGTATTAACCATCATATCATACCAACCGGGTAATATTGGTTTTTTGTAAATAGGTTTTTTTTTTTTTTTTTTTTTTTTTTTTTTTTTGTAATTTGCTCCAGGGAGAAAAAATCGCTAATTTTTTTTAATAATATCAAACACATAGCATCTTTTTTTGCTCTTTACCTTTTGTTTGATAAATAAGCTTTACAATTAAGTCAAATTTATTTTGCTTCTAACTCTCCCTTTGCCTGATTTTGCATTATCCTTAATTGATGGACATGAGTGTAAATAGTTTGTTCTTTTATGGTAAGTGCTCACTAAATGTAATTTCTATTGTACACGAATAATAATAATTCAACAGATCTTACACGAATAATAATAATAATCGTATTATTCCTTAGAGTTCCTGTTAACAAATTCATCTTAACTGTTATTTAGAATGCCACCATTGCGTAATTTTTCTTACCACACATGATGGCTCGTATTTGTTTTATCCTACAAATGATACTTTGAATGAAGTGCTGAAGATACTGTAAAGCTAAGAAGTACACAAAACTATTTAGAAATTTTTAATCGTATATTTAAAATCAGTTCGTGTAATTTCTTTTCAAAAGTTAAAAAAAGAGAAGAATTTTACAAATAAAGCAAACTCATACGAGCTCCCTTGTTAGTATGAATCAACACGACTTTGTTTCAATAAGTTAGAGGAGTTTTAAAATTAAAAAATTTAAAAAAAACCCGACAAAATGATGAAATAATTTCAAAATTTATGACACATTAGCGTAAAAGTAAGGTAAAATATATAGATAAACTATATATAATTTATGACTACTGACGGTAACTTCGAGCAAATTTTTTTTGGTTATTCATTAATTTTAATAGTTTACTCAAAGATGAATTAAAAAAAAAAAGCTATACAGTATGTGAAAAAAAAAAAAAAAATTCTTTGTATTATTTTGCATGTGCTATGACTTCCATGGCTAAAAATTATCGATAGTTGTGTAATTCAATCGATGCAGCTTTCGCCCACTGATGGTTCAATCGATAATCGGACTCCCTTTTAAAGTACAAAGAGACTCACCGCTTTCCGAGCCGCCGTGCTCTCGGCACTGGTGTCCGGAACCGCCGCCGTCGTCAACTCGTCGACGGCGATGAGCGTCGGGGGAGCGGCGGCGGCCGAGCCGCCGACGGGCTCACCGTCGTTGCTGATGTCCGTCACGTCCACCTCGTCGTGCTCGTCGCCGGACGAAGTTCCGCAGCAGCTGCCGCAACGACGCTGCTCGCTGCCGCCGTAGGCTGTGGTGGTGTCAGCATCTGGGTCGATCCTGGGGGGCGACCTGCGTCCCACCGGCCGAAATGCTGAAGTGTGAGCGGGAGTTGTTCTAAGAGGGCTACCGGGACTGTCGTGATCGGGAAAGGAAAGCGAAGTGCCTTCACTGGCGGAGGACAAAGGTCGACCTGAAAAATCAATAACACTACCTGAAAAAATATGTTAAAGTGTTTAATGCTATTGAGAATCACTTAAACAAATTTAATAAAACATGAAAGGGCATAAGGTCGCCTTGCTTAAATACATGATATTCATAACACTCAACTCGCGATTAAACGTGATCAATTTCCGAATTCTCCCTTTAAAAACAAAATTATGTTTGTTCATTACGGAAAAATTACCGTCACAAATCATCAGCGTAAAAGAAAACTGTCTACGGAATTTACAAAAATGAGTGAAATAACAGTAACCATAGCAGCTGATATAATATAGTTGTCCAGCAGAATATGTATTATGTAATTTAACAAGGACCGTAACCGCACCAGATAATCGGAAATTTGATTAATAGAGAATAAATTTTAAAAGATGTCAGTTCTTTTGAGGAGTCTGTTAGAAATTATTTATCTGAAATTCTAAAAATAAGTGGGCAGTCACAGCGTTTAACCATTTTAACAAACCTTCTTTATTTCATTGATAAAATTTGCTTCCTTCAATTTAACGAAAATTCAGAACAAAATAAAATTTCGTGGTAAAAATTCATTATAAAACTGGAATAAATATGCAGCATTTTAAGGAGTTTAACTGAAAGTTAAACTGTTCATTTCCATCATTCCTGTATGCCTTGCTTCGTCACTTATTCGCTCAGTGCAGAAAATGTAGGCACACTCTAAAACGAAAGAAAATAATTTACTGTGTATTAGAACTGAACTTAATTATAGGTTAATTTAATCATATATATCACAGATTAAGTTAGGTTTAATACAATCTTCCTGCATCCGCACCTGAATAATTACTTAGAGTGCTCAAAGTGTTAGAGTGGTGGCCATTAGTGGCCCGACACGTAGCACAACGAAGAACGGTTGCTTGAACAACTTTCGTCAGTGTGCCCACGGGGACTGCAACACACGTCGCTGCAATTTCTTGACGACGAACCTCCAGCATAAAGAACGTATACATTTTCCTGACAGCCCACCAGCAGCCGAGTGGAAAAATCGCTGAAAACTGGTAATTCGGTCATGGGTTCGAATCTCGGTAAACGCGTTTTCGTAGTTTTCCCCGTGCAACGTGTATACGAGATAGTTTCCCTAAGAAATTTCTCCATGATGGCATCTCTTCCCTTAGACAGACAGCCACCGAGTGCTTTGCAATAACTAATAAACCAAACCAAACTTTTTTCTGATGGGCCCTGTATTGGATCGTGTTCGGATGACAATATGACGCAGTTTCATTTGCAGGGGCGAAATAATCTTATTTAAAAATATTTTTAGCTAGCACCTTAGTTAGAAATAGTTGGGCTTTGATAGTCGACTTTCATGCATTTTAGAAAACTGTGATTAAGTCCAACGTGCCGGATAAAAAACTTGCTTTCTGAATCAAACGCTAATGCCCTACAAGGTCCATATACAAGTTGCTGAATACGAATAAGCCAGAAAAACACGGAGTGTTTGTATGATACATCTCAGATTTGAAATGACTACCCATTTCATAATACTTCAAAGCTTTAGTAACAGCAAGACGAATAGCGTTATCACGTATTCAAAGGAAGTGTAAAGAAAGCTATAGTAATGTAATTAGAATGCTTACTCTTTAAAAATTCTCGTAGTGTAGGCAGGTAATAAAGTAAGTAATATTCTTACAAATGCTCCCATATGTAGGAGTGAACACAAATCAAAATGAGGTTTCTCATAGAAATAAATCTACTGGATGTATACAGTCACAATACGCACATTGCAATAGATAATACCATTGCATCCATAGTGTTAAGAATTTGGTATTTAAAAAGCTAATGTTAGTTCAATTATAAATTAAATGGTTTTTATTTAGTGCAGCGCGTGACGGATATTAAAAGAAAGATAAGCCGTAAAATTGAAAATATGAGAGCGCGTGCATTAAACATTTAATAAATATCTCTTTTTGATTACGAGAAAGTACTAGAAAATTCTCGCGAGTGATTTTTAAAATCTTATAAAAGGAGGAAAACCTCTCAGTTCGGAGTTAGTTACTTAGTTTGTTGCTGTTTAGAATACTGCTCTTTTTGACTGTAACGAATTCGCGGATTAGCTTTCTTTAGCTATTTTGAGTTTGAGTAGTTAGAAGATAACTACTGTGAGATATTGTAAAGAACGGTAGAGATATTGTAAAACTGAAAGAATATCTGAGGGAATTTAAGCATTTTGTGATAATAATAAATTTTTTGTTCATTTTTCATCGGACTTGTGCATTCATTTCGTAACGAACCCGTATGCACGCAACAATTTTTGGTGTCAGAAGTGGGATTTGAATGCCAATTACTACAGCGATGGAGAAACAATTGAGGCAGCTAATTACTGCTTTTGCTGCATTTAAAGAAGAGATGAAAGACTCTGTTAAAGCAGAAATGAAATCGGGACAGGAATCCGTTCACGAAAAGTTGGAAGCTGGTCAAGTTACTTTTAAAGAAGACATAAAAGCTGTACATGGAAAGATTGAAGCAGTCAAGAGGAAATGAAAAGAGAAATAACCTGCGTAATAGAAAATAAATTCGAGGCTATGGAAGACAGAATAGGAACTGTCGAAAATAAAGTCAGACAAATTGAAGAAAAGGTTTCTTCAGTCAAAGATCAAATAGAAGAGAGAGTATAGCTGTGGAGCAACGAGTCGAAGGAAGGGTTTTGGCCGTCCAGCAACAAATCGAACAACAAATTGAGGAAAGGGTTTCTGCTGCAGTTGCCAAAGAAGTGGATACTTTAAAGAAATTCGTAGCGACGGCAGGGAGCAATAGTGATGGTCTTAAATTCTTACCGATGCCGGCTCGTCCATCTCTGAAGCTATCCACATATGATGGGAAGACCTCCTGGCAAGTGTATAGGACACAATTTTCTATCGTCGCGGATGCGAATGTATGGGATTCCCAAGCTAAGGCCTGTCATCTCGCCGCTTCTCTGAGAGCAGCAGCGGATATCCTGCACACGCTTCCCGAAAACCAAAGACTTGACTTCGAAGCTCTATCCGGCGCATTGGAGCTGCGATTTGGCGAGAAATGTTTAAAAGACTACAGCAGGCTTCAATTAAAATCCCGTCAACAGAAGCCCACTCAATCCCTCTAGGAACTCGCCACGGATGTTGAAAGGCTGTTCCACCTCGTCTTTACGGAGTGCCCGACAGAAACGAGGGAAATCCTGTCCCTGAAATACTTTATCGATGGCATCCGGAACCCTGAAATACAGAAAGACCTGCGAATGGAGGATGCTAAAGATTTGAAAAGCGCTGTAGTGCACGCCATGAAATTGGAGGCAGCCCAGCAAGCAACTCGTAGAGATCGCTACCCAGTCAGAGCTGTGCGAGTCCACGAGCCAGGGGATCAACTGATGGCTCGTTTAGATGAATTAGCCAGAGAAGTCAACGCTTTGATAGGGAGTAGGAGTGAGAACAAAGTGGCTATAAGGTGTTGGAAATGTGGTATTGAAGGGCACATACGACGGCAATGCAGAACACCTCAGGGCACGGATAATAAAGCGGATGATTTGATAAGACCAGTGAATGCCTTAAGACGGAATACTGGTGGGAAGAAACCAACCCTTAAGTGCTGGAACTGCGGTGTTGAAGGCCACATACGAAGGAACTGCGGAACACCCCAGAGCACGGAAAATAAGAGAGGCGGGTTAAACAGACAACTAAATGCCACGGGACGGAAAAGGTGTGCCAAGAAACCAAAGTGCTGGTACTGTGGAGCTGAAGACCACGTACGGAAGAACTGTAGAACACCCCAGGTCACGGAAAATAAGATCATTTCCCAGCAACGAAGCAGGAAACAAATTAATGGCCATATCGAGGAACGGATGTTGCCAGAGAATGAAAAACCTTGTTTTAAAGCGCTCAAGATTTCTACAGTGAGTGGCAACAGTAACGAACTGTTGCCATCAATGGGCACATCGATGGGCACATCGATGGAGTTCCTTGCAATATGATCATTGACACAAGAGGTAATGTTACCATCATTCGGAAAGATTTAGCTGAACAGTTTAAAGATAAACTTATTTGGACGCCATCCTGTGTTACCCTTCAGACTGTATCTGGTGATAAGATCGACATAGTTGGGTAGTTAAACGTGAACATCATGTTTGGAAGTGCCGCCTACCATCACACGGCATATGTGGCGGATATTACAAATCCATGCATACTCGGATTGGACTTTTTAAGGAAATACAATTTTTCCTTAGACTTCAAAAACAACAAACTGCTGTCAACATCTGAGGGCACGACTATCCATCGTCAGAAGGGATCCTCACCTGGAAACGCCTACGCTTTGTCTGAAAGACCCAACTGAGAAAGTTGCCGAAATTATACTAGGGTTGGAGAGAAACACAGACTACCGGCTATTCTTCATCCGAGATGCTCTTCGGTCCAGACCTTCGTCAGCAGCCTTGTGACCGCCTGTTTGGTCACCGTACGGATGCGCCTTCATCGCCTGTGAAATACATCCAAGATGTCTAGGCCCGGTTTGAGGTGATGCATCGTTCTGCACGAAAGCGAATCAACATGGCGACGGAGAAGATGAAGACCCGCTACGACACAAGAGCTACTGAACATCAATTCCACGAAGGAGACTAGGTGTGGTTGTGGAATCCGACTCGACGAAAAGGACTCTGTCTGAAATTACAGTCACCTTGGGATGGTCCGTACACGGTCCTAAACAGGCTGAATGACGTCGTGGTTCGGATCCGCAAGTCTTCGAACTCTAAACCTAAAGTCGTTCATTACGACAGGTTAGCTCATTATTATGGCCATAGTACGTAGTATAAATAATTGTAAATAGTGTAAGACTATGGTCCCTTTTGTTTCTAAATGTGTATTTAGTATCTGATTTGTATTTTGCATTTGATTTGTATTTTCTATTTGATTTGTATTTTGTATTTGATTTGTATTTGATAGCATTTGATTTGTTTTATTTATTGCATTTGTTGTTCATGTTGTTTATTATTGTAATGTA